GTCCACAACAATCTCTGTCTGTCATGCAAGGCAATTTATGGATGGGGTGATCAGACTCTGTGACTTGGTAGATTGCATGTCAACTTACCCCATGATGTGGGATGTTGCTTTTAATATTGTCTGGTCCAGACTAGATTCTATACAAACCACTACCAATCAGCTGGAATATCGCAGAGTGTGGTGTTAAATGGCAAACAAAAATATACTTTTGCTGTACTCATATTTAGGTGTGTGTCTCAGTGTACACATATTTCAGTGACCTTGATATGTTGTTATGAAGATGCAGAAGCTAGTGATGGTTGAATGTGGCCTCAATAGGTATCTGAGTGACACTAGAGTGTTTCTCAAACCTTAATCTGACTGGCTGTCAAAGTGAAGTTTATATTTGGCAACTGAAGTGGCTATTTTGAGCTTAACTGAGAACAGAGTTTTGGCATTAGGCAACTGTGGGGTAGTTATGGAATGTAGAAGCATTGGATGTGTCAGTAATGGCCTATGGAGCGAGCGCACATGGAAATTAGTGTACTCTTAACTGTATACCTTGATTTGATATTCCGGGTAAGAATATAGGTCCCTAGCAACCTATGCTTGTCGTAAGAGGTGACTAATGGATTGAATAGTTAGGATTAGTGGTTGATGCATGTCATCATTTCCCAGTTGCATGGAGCGATGTTCATGATGTCAATCACAGGAATGTCTGGTCCTGACGCGATTGTTTACAGACTGCTGTCATAAAGCTGGAATATTGCTGAGTGTGGCTTTAAACAACAGACAAACAAACATTTAACTGTAGAATCAAATTTCTTTTATAGGTGAGTGAGTGAGTACGGGTTAACACCGCTTTTAGCAATATTCAAGCAATATCATGGCGGGGAACACCAGAAATGGGCTTTACACATTGTACCCATGTCGAGAATCGAACCCGGGTTTTTGGCATGACAAGCCAATTCTCTTATAGGTGTTGATGTACATTGTATAACATCACTGTAACAGTCGTGTTATTATTGCAATGTTATAGATGGAAAACAAGTTAAAATAATCCAACTGCAAGGTTACCGTTTTTCATGTGCTAAAGTTTATGTAGTGAGTCATTGTGCTTAATGCCAATGCTAAGGAATGTCTCCGTTTTTTTCTTGTAAGTGGATATTTGAAATGAGTGTTCAATTGCATTGCAAAGGTAAATTTTATTCTCATTAGAATCAACAATTCTAGGGGATTTTGTCAAGGAGCTAAGCAGGTTGAGGCTAAAACTCTTTGAATATTTCTAATTTTGAATTTTCACATATGTTCCTTTCTTTACGAAGAAATTAAAACATTGTGCCAAGGAAATATAAACAGAATTGGATAAAATTACAAAATGTTACTTCATCTGCTCACTTCTAAATAATGAAACAAAAACAAAAAGTTTCTTTGTTGTAGCTTTGAATAGATTTGCATGGATAGAAATTACAAGTATGAAGTCTTATGCTGGTAAAGTTCATTTTGGTTTCATAAGACTGAAAATGAAGCCAGAAGACTTATTTGGGCTGGTAGGCACAGAATGCTGCCACATTCATTAAAGTTTGGAATCTATAGCCCTCGCCACTTGAAACAGAATCACAAAATATTATGATGATTAATTTAATTTAATTAGAGAGCTATAAGGGTGCTGATACATAATACTGTGAGTGGTTATACTTATGTAGCAGAGCATGGAGTCATCCCACAGATGACATCCTTACCTTGTCAGCTTGCTGACGGGGTTAACCTCTTTGGTCATGTGGACAAGGCATCCAACTTTTGATCAGGTCTGTGGTTCGAATCCCATCACGGGACTCGGAAATTTTATGGCCGCTACATTGGCGCCCAGCGTGGGGCTGAGCACGTTCATATTAGATTTGAGTAAAGTAAGCCTCAGTACCCTACTATGCGGCCCGGGACGAGCCTTCTGTTGACGGGGGAGCATGTAGCAGGGCGTGGAGTCTTCCAACAGATGACATCCTTACCTTGTCAGCTTGCTGACGGGGTTAACCTCTTTGGTCATGTGGACAAGGCGTCCGACCTCTGATCAGAAGGTCCGTGGTTCGAACCCCATCACGGGACTCGGAAATTTTATGGCCACTACATTTACATTAAAAGCATTAAAAGCATGAACTAAAAGGGAAAAAACTCCTGCAGATGTGGTATATAAAGCGCTATTGACCATGTTCACTGCTATATATAACCACTTCTATCACCGGACTGCTGATTCTCACCTGGAAGGTAACCACGTGATCAAAACTCAATGATGATGTTTATCACTCTCAAGATGGATATTGTCGTGACTGAAAGTAATATTCCGTATCGCTGGAATGGCTTGTTTTCATTTTAGAAATATTGTCCAATGTTAGGCACTTGTCCTGGGCCCACTTGCACAAAGCGATCTTAGCGCTAAGACTATCGTAAGCCTATGTTAAAGTATGGGAGTTACAATCATCTTAGCACTAAGATCGCTTTGTGCAAGTGGGCCCAGTAGTCCTTG